CAGGTCCCGGACATCCCAGAAGGGGTCTAGAGCAAGGGCGAAGCGCACAGGTTCGGAGGCGAGACCAAGGTCTCTCGCAGACTGAGATTCCTGTGTGATTCTGGGCAAGTCACGTCCCTCTCTGAGCCGCAGAGCATCAGGGACCTGCCGGCAGGCGGGGCTGTGAGGATCAGATGAAGTCCAACACGTAAGTGCTTCGTTCGGGCCTGGCACAGAGTCAGAGCCTCATCAATGGCAGCCCATTGGCTAAAGACGAAAAACAAAGGCAGCTACTCTTTAAAAAAAAAAAAAATTATATATATATATATATATATATATATATATATATATATATATATATATATATATATAAAATCTTTATTGATTTAGGAGAGGAAGGGAGAAGAGAGAGAAACATCAATGATGAGAATCATTGATTGGCTGCCTCCTGCACACCCCCCACTGGGGACAGATCCCGCATCCAGGCATGTCCCCTTGGCCGGAATGGAACCTGGGACCCTTCAGTCCGCAGGCCGAGGCTCTACCCACTGAGCCACACCGGCCAGGGCTAAGGTCGTGATCTCCTCCCCCAGAAGGCCCGGCGGGGTGAGCCGCTGTGGCCCCGCCACCTCGCAGGGCCGCCCGGATCTCCGCTCTGGGAAACGCTGTGGTTTCTGTTCACGCAGGTTCACAGGCTTCGCCGGGATGAACGTTCCGGTTTGTCTGATCCAGAAGCACAAACGGCGCGTGGGAGCCTCAGATGGGAAGGAGGGGGCGCTCAGAGGAAGCTCCCTGAGCCCCTCCTCCGGTTTTCCGGTCTGGGGTCCCCCCATAGGGTCCCCGAACCGCCACCCCGGGGTCTGCTGCCCCCTCCCGCCTGGGGTTAGCGCCCGTGGGCGCCTCCGCTCCGAGCCTGTCCTCCCGCCGGGGAGAGGGGGTGACAGCGGACACCCCGGCCCCCGCGGACACCCCGCCCCCCGCCGACACCCCGCACCCCGCCGACACCCCGCACCCTGCCCCCCGCGGACACCCCGCACCCCCACACCCCGCACCCCGCCCCCCGCGGACACCCCGCCCCCCAATCTCGCCGCGGACACCCCGCCCCCCCCACACCCCGCCCCCCGCCCCCCGCCGACACCCCGCACCCCGCCGACACCCCGCACCCCGCCGACACCCCGCACCCCGCCGACACCCCGCACCCTGCCCCCCGCGGACACCCCGCCCCCCCACACCCCGCCCCCCGCCCCCCGCCGACACCCCGCCCCCCGCCCCCCGCCGACACCCCGCCCCCCGCCCCCCGCCGACACCCCGCCCCCCCACACCCCGCCCCCCGCCCCGCCATCTCGCCGCGGGAGGAGGCGGCCGCGGCCCCGTTAGCCGGTGTGCGATCGGCGCCGGAGCCGGAGCCGGGGGCCGCCGCCGGGGCCGGTCCTCGCGGGGCCGCAGGAGGCCCGGCTGGGCCGGGGCGCGGGGCCGGGACCGCGGAGCCTCCTCCCGGGGCTGCCTGCGGGGAGGAGGGCATCGTCCCCAACGGCGTGTCCGTGCCGCCCCGCGGGCCTTCCCCGTTCCCGCCTGACACCCGCGTCCAGCCTCCGGGCGGAGCATCCTCACCGCCCGGAGGACGCCGAGGCCAGAGAGAAATCGACTCGCGGCGGGACGCGGCTGGGAAGGACGAGGAACCGCGCCCAGGACGTCAGCCTGCAGATGAGGGACCTGGAGGCGAACTCTAACCCTGCTTCTCACTGTGCGCGTTCGGTCCGAGCCCCAAGTGCCTCCCACAAAATGATGGGTTGAATGAGTTGAAGGCGAGAAGTGCGAGGGGAGTGGTCCCACCGGAGCGAGAGGGGAGCTCGGAGTCCGTCTCTTCCGCGCACTGCGGGCCTCTGCCGCCCCCTGCTGGCGAGGGGCGTCTTAGCCGATGAGGTCGTTCTTGGGTGAGGAGAGTCTGCTCTGTGGCCTCCTTTACTCCCCACCCTTCCTCCCTCCGCATCCTCCTTCAAGGCGGTGAGAAGTGAGCGAGGGGAACATTGAGGACTCATTCCACATCTTGCAAGCAATCAGTTGTGAAGCCTGCCTCCCTTTATGGAGCTCACAGGGCCAGCCCCTGACAGTTCTAACGTCAGGAACAGGGATACAGGATAATGACCTAACCACAAGGCTGGGCATCAAAGTGCTGGGAATAACAAGAATATCTAGAACTACAATAATTTAAACATCCATCATGGGAATATTGACAAATTTTAAAGGTACATGCAAAAAATACAATACTGCACAGCTGAAAATATAATGTTGCTGAACATTTGACATGAAAATATAATCAAACAAGGAAAATGAGTCTTACAGGCATTATATTGAATGAAAGGAGCCAGACAAACACACACACACACACACACACACACACACACACACACACAAACATGCTTTCAGGTATTTATCTGAAATTCAAGAACAGGAAAAACTAATCTATATATATAAAAGGTTAATATGGTAAGTGTTCCTCCAACCGTCTAACAAGTCACTATGTCACACACTGACCACCAGGGGGCAGACGCTCAACACAGGAGCTGCCTTGACCCACACTGGCCATTTACAGAGAAGCGGCACCAAGGACCTGGCACCCTCAAAGCAACTCTCGGCTTCCCCAAGTGGGACACAGGTCCCGCCACCACCCTGGAGCGACAGCCCACCAAATTGCAGCCAATACTGCCAAGACCTCATGGTGAAAATGTGGCCCACAGCCCAGCCCAGCCTGGAAACAGTCACTGTAAACACTGGGTAATGATATCACAAAGCAATGCCCGGCTTCCTCTTCCTAGCCACTAGCCTCCTTGGAGTTCCTTCAGCCCAGGAACTTGACTGCTTTATAGCCAGGTGCAAACATTCCACACTGTAACCTAATGTCTGTGAAGCATTTTCCCGTGCCTCATCTCATTTGATCCTCACAGAAGTCCTGGAGTAAGTAAATAGGAGACTCGGTGGAATTCTATTTTCTTTTCATTAGCCATAAAATGGAGATTTAGAAAACTTAGAATCTTGACCCAATTGAAAAGAACTACGAAATTGTGGACCTTGAAAATGACTTCAGGTTTTCTCACTGCACAGAATATAGTCAAACACTGCTGCAGTTAAATATTTTACCCTTTGTTCTCCCTGTGTGATCTAGAATAATAATCTGCTTCATGCTGATATTTACTGCTGTGTTGCTAACAATTACCTGAAAGAGAAGTTGAGGAGCTTCACTGGGCTGGGAAAAGGTTAGCTACATAGAAAGCAGGTTTAATTAAGCAAGATTATTCTATATCTATAAAAGGCTAAGCTGACTTGTGCATGCATGATACATATAAAGCTCTTGCTGGTGCCAATCGCATGCATGTGTTTCGATGTCATTGTCGATTGTGAATTTGATTGACACTTCTATTATAGAGAAAGGGCGAATAGCAACATTAAAACATTTCTTCTAATTAATTTCCTTTCAATGTACACAAATCTGTGCACTGGGCCTCTAGTCTTTCATAATAGAAGTCAGAATAGAAGCTACTTCTGGGAAGGATTTTGACTGGGAGGATGGCATGGGAACCTTCTTGGGCACTAGAAATGCTCCCTTAATCTGGGCGGTGGCTTCACGTCCATCTTGTGTAAAAACACATTGAGTTGTATATGCATTTTATACGTTATACCTCAATAAGACGTTTTTGAGAAGATATTCAAGCAGGAGAAAAGAGTACTAAGCAGTATGATCCTACTCTTAAAAATAAAAGAAAAACATAATAACACGGGTAGCAGTTCTCATCTCAAACTTTTTTCATTGTCTCATTTTCACATTGAGATCCCAAAGAGCTTTTGTTCTTGTGGGCTGTATCAATACTTATCATGGATATTAAAATATAAATATTTAACAGTCAATTGCATTAGCCATCAGAGTGATAACGTCAGCATATGTCATGTAACCTCTGGAAAACTTTACTGTCCATTGGGAGAATAAAAAAGGCAAATAGCATCTTACTGTTATTGTGAAAGTAATTTTGAGCTTGGCGTCTTGGAAAGCCCAGAGGTCCCAAATCTCACTTTAAGGACCGCTGGCGGGGCGGGGCCCATGGGACGAAGGAGGGGAGGGGCAGGAAAACACACCGCATGATAAATTATTTTCTCTCAGGAATGGATTATAATTTATTTTTATTTGCTGCTTTTAGGGGCTTTTCAATGGAAAATATGCCCTCAGTGGATAGAATGTCAGTCTAGGGTAGGGGGTGTCGAACTCAATCAGAGAAGGGGCCAAAATCTAAAATCCAGCCTAAATCGCGGGCCGAATGGTTTACTGAACAGTCATAAACTGTCATTGTGATGGAAACGCAGCGGAGTGCAGTGATGACAGCGCGGTGCGGGCCACATTGCAAGGCCTGGCAGGACGGATTTGGCCCGCGGGCCTTGTGTGTGACACATGTGGTCTAGGGACTGAAGGGTCCTAAATTTGATTCTGTCGGGGTTGCAGGCTCAATCCCCAGTGTGGGCCGTGCAGGATCTCTCTCATCATTGATGTTTCTATATATCTCTCTCCCTCTCCCTTCCTCTCTGAAGTCAATTTAAAAAATGTTTAAGGAAAATATAACCACCACTGATTGGTTTTGCAAACAAAAAACGAGACTCATGTTGAAAAGCCCCAACAATAATAACATATTTGGCTGTATGGAAACAGCAAACCGAGCCCCAAGCTGAAAGTGAGGGTCCGATTTCCCGCGTCAGTCCTGGCCTGTAAATCCGAGTTCTACGTGCAGCTTTCGAGGGAATATGTAAGTGCGCACACGCCTGGGTTGTGCTGGACCAGGAAGTAACCTCCTGAGGGCCCACGCGCAGCACTGCATCCGTGTGGCCCCGCGCGCCGCGGCGGGGCTTGAACACCCACCCAGCCCAGACCGCCCCGCGCAGCGCCCGCACCCACATGGGGCGAAACTCCGAGCGCCACCGCAGGAGACGCACATGGAGGCGGGGCTGAAGGAGACTGACATTGCGCTCGGCCTCTCAGCATCATAGCCCCGCCTCCCCACCTACTTCCCTCTCTGAGTGGCTGCAGGACTGCGGAGGTTAGTTCCCATTGGCCATCAACAGGCACCAGCTTTGCGCGTCGGGAGCCGGAGCGGAAGTCGCCATGGTGCGGTTCAAACACAGGTAGGCGGCTCGTGGCTGGCCCCTCGGTGCTCTTTCCGGCCCGGCGCCCGCAGCCCTGGCCTCTCTCACCTCCCCTCGCCCCCCAGGTACCTGCTCTGCGAAGTGGTGTCTGACGACCCCCGCTGCCGCCTGAGCCTGGATGACCGCGTGCTGGGCGGCCTCGTGCGGGACACGGTCGCCCGCCTGCATGGGACCTTCGGCGGCGCCGCCTGCTCCATCGGCTTCGCGGGTACGAAGGTGCTGGGGACGGGAACCTGGGGGGATTGGGGGCCGGAGGAGGGAGGAAGGGCACAAGCAGCCCACGGAGCTGCCAAGCCTGGTGCACGAAGTGTTTTTTGTTTTTAATATATTTGTTATTCATCCTGAGAGGGAGAGGGAGAGGGAGAAACATCCGTGATGAGAACCGGCTGCCTGCGTCGTGCACGCCCCCTACTGGGGGCTGACGTGACCTCCCGGTTCATAGGAGGCTCTACCGGGGAGCCATGTGTCTGCGCCACTAAGTGGTCCTTTTTAGGCGCCTGGGATTCCCAGCTCCAGGTGTGGACAAGTCCAAAGTTAGGCGGAGAGCTAAGACAGAAGGCAGTGGAACTTTGGGCAAGAACCCCCTGTTTCTATTTATATGTGAATATTGTTGATTGCTACTTAATAGGATGACTACAATTAAGTGAAGGGACATGTGTATAGCTCCTATTAAGTTAGGTGACTGGTTACATTAATATCACATGGAAAGTCCTCAATAGGGCCTGTAAAGTACAGAACACAATTATGTGCATGTAAATGAGGAAGAAGAGGTGCCTTCCTGGCAGCCACACAAATCTAAATTCGTTCCTTTACTATATGCTCAAAATGGGATCCTGGGGAACTACCGTGTTTCCCCGAAAATAAGACATCCTCTGAAAATAAGACCTACTTACAGGTTTCCTTCTGAGTGAAATATAAGGCATCCCCCCGAAAATAAGGCCCCCCCCTAGACTCTGTCTCAGTATGCTATTATTGCTTAACATGAGAGATTTGGTCCACTGATTCTGAAAGAATCACAAGAAATTCACCAGGAAATTCAGGAATTGAATTGTTATGATGATGTTCTAGAAGATGACATGATTGTCCTTGAATAAATAAGTTCTTGATACTGTAGGATTCACAGTTTGTCTGGTTTGTGTTGACAACTACCGTATTACTGTACCATATACAGGTAATAAATTTCCTTTATTTTCATTTAACAATAAATGTGTACCATATTCTTCTTCATGGAAAAATAAGACATCCCTGAAAATAAGACCTAGCGCATCTTTGGGAGCAAAAATTAATATAAGACACTGTCTTACTTTTGGGAAAACGGTATATGCACACTAGGGGCCCAGTGCATGAATTCATGCCCCTTGAAAGGAACCGTGGACGGTGCGGCTGCGGTGGGCACGGGCCCTGGTCCTGTCTGCCACCGCTCCCACACTGATAGCCCCGGCCCCACTTGCACCCAGAGGGCGTGGAGCAGTTGGGGCTGGCACCAGCAGTGAGTGCCAGCGGCAGCTGCTGCTCCATCTACCCTCAGGAGCAGGGGGAGTGAAAAAGCCCCTTCATGATCAGGTTTGGCCGCTGATGCTTGCACCTGCTGATAGTGCCGGCAGCTGGGCAGGACCACGTTGTGTGGGGCAAAAAATCCTCATTAACCACTAGAGGCTCACCCTGACGACCTTGGTCTGGCATCCTCGCTCACCTGCTCCACCATCCCGCCACAGCCAACACTCCCCATGTTCCACATTACCCCCTGGTGGTCAGCGCACATCGGAGACCAGTTATTTGGTTGTTCTGCTATTTGCATATTAGGGCTTTATTTAGATAGAAGATAGGCATAGTGCTACATCAGGTGAGACGGCTGGCTACAGAGCCCAGCTGTAGAGCCTCTCTTGAGCCAAGGGTTTGGATCTCCATCTCCCCACCCCCGACATATTACATTAATGTCAGTGAATAAGAACATTAAAATTCTAAATTCATCAGTTGAGTGATGTGCAAGGCACTGGCCATTGTCTATTCCCTCTCCCCCTTCCATAAATGATAATCTCTTTCCTTCAGGAATCTGTTTACTCATGTGTCCCAAATGCCACTGCCTTGGACAGCTGTTGGCACTCAGTAGGCTTAGTTACCCTAAGACCTTTGACCTGCTGCTGAGAATCCAGTTTCCCCAAATTTTTTGCCTACTGTAGTGCGATACCTCAACGCATATACTGGAATAGTGCTACTTCGATGCCGAAAGGAGTTCTACCAGCTTGTGTGGTCGGCTCTTCCCTTCATCACACACTTGGAGAACAAAGGACACCGTTACCCGTGTTTTCTCAACACCTTGCACGTGGGAGGTACGTGTCAGGCTCAGAGTTCAGTGGTGTCTGGTGGGTGGTCTCCCAAGAGCAGGATGCTTTCCCCTGGCTCTGAAAGTCTCGAGGAAGACACCTTTCACCACAGGGCTCTTTCCTGTGCCAGGCACCATTAGAACATGCCAGAAGTTCCTGATTCAGTACAACCGGAGACAGCTGCTGATCTTGTTGCAGAACTGCACTGATGAAGGTAAGCAACCCTAACCCAGTGCGAACTGAGCAGTGACTGGCCTCCAGCTGTCACAAACCTCCCCCCATGTGCCTGCCTTTCCCCAGGGGAGCGGGAAGCCATCCAGAAGTCTGTCACAAGAAGCTGCTTGCTGGAGGAGGAACCGGGTGAGGAGGAGCTTTCCGATGGCGGCGAGGCGGCTGCTGCAGCAATGGAGTGAACCCCTGCTGGCTTCACGGTGCCCAAGCTCAGCCCACTTGTAGGAACAGGGCATTCTGGGAGGCGCTGGATCTTCTACATTCCCAGGATCTCCTTTCTCCATCATAGAATGGATGTTGCTCAAAGCCCTGACACATCTGAGATTTGTGGCTTTTGCCACAAAAAAAACCCCTTTCATGTCAGGCTGGAACTCTCAAATCCCCCCCCCGAGTTCCTGACCCTGGATCTCTGAATGGCTTTCGGTTAAGAATGACAGGTTATACGCCGAAACCAGTTTGGCTCAGTGGTAGAGCGTTGGTCTGCGGACTGAAAGGTCCCTGGTTCGATTCCGGTCAAGGGCATGTACCTTGGTTGCGGGCACATCCCTGGTAGGGGGTGTGCAAGAGGCAACTGGTCGATGTTTCTCTCTCATCGACGTTTCTAGCTCTCTCTCTCTCTCCCTTCCTCTCTGTAAAAAATCAAAATATATTTATAAAAAAAAAATGACAGGTTATAGCTACTCCCAGCTCACAGTCATACTAGCCGATACTTTAACCTGCTTATAAGAAGTATGTCTAGCTGACCTGAGTTGAACTTACAAAACAAAAAGCTGCCCTGTCCAGGCAGCTCAGTTGGTTAGAGCATCGTCCCAATTACGCCGAGGCTGCAGGCTCGATCCCGTCAGGGAACATACAAAAATCAGCCAATGAATGCATAAATAAGGGGAACAAAAATCAATGTTTGTTTTTTTCCCCTCTAAAAACTCAATGAATTAAAAAAATAAAACAGAAAGCTCACATTGCTTGTGCAGGTAATTTATTGCAACTGTTTGCCTTCACATTCTGTTAGACCTAGAGGTTACTTTATTAAGCAGCAAAAGAATTCATCACTCCAATTTAGCTCAAACCAAGGCATAAGACTACTCTAGACAACAGGGAGTGGGCAGCCCTGCTGCTTCCAAACCCGTCCTCCACCTCCAGGAGCTGGTCTCCTGCTGCTCCTGTCACTTGAAACAAGTTTGGTTTAAAGGTCCATCTTTCCTTGCCAAACAAGCCACGTGGAAGAGGTAAAACCCTCCATCATACATGCAGGTGCAGCCTAGGTCTGGCCCCACAGCCTGGCCATGTCAAACGAAAAACTGCAATTCGAGCTGAGTATTCTAAATCCATTTTATTCCATCCCTGTTTCTTTAGAGGACTGAACAGATAGAAAAGATTCAACTACTTGTAAAAGCCTCGCTGAAAGGTGCTGAAACCAGAATGCCCGACACATGACATCAGAGCACAGCAGTGCGGTTTAACACTCTGGTCTGGGCTGCTTTTCCAAGGGATGTTGAAGGGACTCGTTTATTTAAGGTTGAGAAAAACTAATCACACATGGTCAAAAAGACTAACCTGTAACAAACTAAAAACCTTGGCAGGAAGAGATCTCTTATGAGTGTCAATACTTTATTTTGGTGTAAAGAGGGAAGCTGGAAAATACACTGTATTTAAAATCTTGGTTCCCCCTCATATTCTGGAAACCCCCTCCCCCCAGAACTAATCTGTTCAAACTCAGATACATAAAAATTACAGCAGCAAAACGAAAGCGTGGATAAAGAAACCAGATGGAGAAGGTAGCCTGGGCCAGTAGTGTCACTTGGTGTGGACGACGGAGGTGCTGAACAGGAGTTTCTGCTTCTGCTTTTTTCTTTTCTTTCCTCCTCTCTCTTCTAAACGGAAACAGAAAGAGAACTTAGTTTAGATTGCCACCCCATGTCCCCAAGCCAGTTTTCATTACTGAGAGTGACAATGGCAGCTAAGAGTACAGGTTCTGGAATCAGAATGGCTGTTTTGGAATACTGGTACTTGGATACGCTTTGTTTTTGGACAAGTCACTTTATCTCCCTGGAACTGTTTCTTCAGCTGCAGCAGAGTTACACCTTCTAACAGGGTTAACGGGAGAATAAAGTCTACACCACGCCAGGCACACAGGAAGCACACCATCAATGCCATTCTCTAACCATGAATGTCAGAGTTGGTGGGCTTCAAGCCCAATTTCTGCACCAATGAGCCCCCCTTTACCAACTCAGGATTCCAACATCTACTCTCCACTGCTGTTTTAGGAGCGGAAATAAAAGTTCTTTCCTCCAGGCCTGGAGAATTAACCTGGGGTGGCAGAAAGGTCCTCTGACACCAATGAAATGATAGCTGACACTAGCAGGTGAGCCTAGAGCTCAGGGAAAAGCGCCCGGCCGATTAGTGCCATCTGCCACCGGACCCGGGCGGGAAGGACTGCCCTGTGCTGAGCACTCCCCCCGCCTTTACCAGAGAGGGCATCGGAAGTAGCAGGTGTGTCCAGTTTCATGAAGGCTGCTTCGATAGCTTGGCTAAAAGAATTTTGGAAACTGGGCACAGGAACACGGTCTGAGTTATCACTCTCCCCGTCACTGTCCATGGTGGCAGGAGGGACCAAGCTGTTTTCATCTAAAAAAACAAACAGTGTTACAATTCTAGAAACAACTCTAGAGACTTTTACCTTCTAAAAAGGACAAAACCCACCTTCACCAGGAGGGCCATCCTCACCTTTCTTTGGAATAGTTTTGGGCCATACATCTGCTTTTGCTTTTCCAACTCTCAGCATCTGCCAAAGTGGGAAAGGGGAGGAAAAATAAATCTAATAATTTGCTGAATAATGAGAACACTGATTCGCCCTCAACTACTCTTAGCCTCTCTCTGGTACATCTACGAGAATATCTGGGACTAAATCTATGAGCTTCCCACTTAAGAACTTCTGTGATTATTAGGATCAGTGTCACATTAGTCTGCAAGCCCCTTCTCCTCTAACAGAGATTTCCAGAAAGAGCAAGCAGTGGAGTTCGGTTCAATGTCCTTGGCTGCTTCCCAAGCACAGGGTTTACCTGGGCAAACGAAGGGAAGGGAGAGTCCTCCTCCAGGCTCCCGATGCAGAGTGGAGGGCTGCCCTGGTTCGCAGTGGGTGACACAGGGCTCAGCACAAAGTCTGAAAGGGAACCAGACACCTTATTATATGAGTCAAGTTCCAAAGAGCTAGTGTTCTCTTAGCAAGAGTAAAGAGAGGAACCCTGAATCAGGTATGGATAATTACCTATCAACTCAAAAAGCAAACACTGACCCGATTTCAACTCTGCCATGTTCTCAAAAAGCCAAGAACAAGGCCCATTATTCATACCAGCGAGCACTAGAGAAGAGCTGTGTTTACAGTAACACCAGGTCTGCCAGAATCTATCCCATCCCCACAGTAAAAGACCTTCCACATCAGCTGACTCTCAAGACTAGGTTTGTTTTGTCATGACTTGGTTTGATATAGATGTAAACACTCCAGTAGAAGGTATAAAATTTAATCAGGTCAGCTTTTATGTTCCAGTCAGCAGGTGTCGAAGACTTGAGGATATTCAGTTAGAATCCAAAACACACACACAACAAATCCCAAATGAAGAGGCCAGCTTTCCCCTGAGACTCCCTGGGGAGCAGCCTTCCCAGCCTTTGGCTTCAGGTGGAGCATCTCCCACAGGTCAGGTCTACCTGCTGTTCTGATCACTATGGGGGGGGGAGGGGGGCGCGTGCATGCACGGCTATTCACTCCCCCACTAGCAGGCCCTTCCACAGCCAGCCAGCGCTGGTCCACTTCTAGGACCATCCCACTGCTCTTGCTCAAATACCTTCAGGAACATAATCTTTATATCACAAACAATGTGGTTGGTATTCTGCTGTATTCCTTTATATAGCAGCTCTCTTCTTAAACATGCTCTTCAGAGCGTCATGGTTGTGTAGCCCTCAAGATCCAGGTCTAATCCCAGTCTCTGCCACTAAGGCCCTGCCCTAACCTTAGGCTCCTAATTAATGATAGCAGTACCATCAAAAAGGTAACCAAGAGTTTTGAATATTGGACATTTTGTTTAAAATACCTGATAGAGAAATAAAATTTAAGTATCAAAATATCTGCCAGGAGATGAAGATAAGAAATGACAGCTCTCTGAAATGATAGCAACTCTTTCTTACATGTTTTATTTCCTAACAGTAATACATTCTATAAGAGGGGGAAAATATTTTTAAAAGGCTAAAGGCCTCTTTGAACAATCTCTCAATCCTGGTCTCACTCCCTAGAGTGGAATACGATTACCTGTTTGGAACATAATCACCCCACTATTTTTTTATACACTTAGATATTCAAACCCACAATAAAATGTTTGGCCTGTTTTTCTTTAAATCTACAAATGGTATCATCTTCTGTTTGTTCTAAAAGCTCCTTTTATTCTAAATGTGTACTCATTAGTTCATAAAGAGAGCTATTTTCTTCTTCCTTAGGTATAAAGTACGCTGTTTCAAAGTATCAATTCTATAATTTAGCCAATTATTTACCAATAGACTTTGTAGATTATCCCCCACACCACACCTGCTATTATATATAAAAGGCTAATATGCTGTGTCTGACTGTCCAACCAGTTGCGCTGACACGCACTGACCACCAGGGGCAGATGCTCAATGCAGAAGCGGCAGTGACCTGCACTAGCCATTTACAGAGAAGTGGCACCAGGGACCTGGCGCCCACAAAGCAACACTCGGCTTTCCCCAAATGGGACACAGGCCCTATCTCTAGCCCAGAGCAACAGCCCACTAAATAGCAGCCAACACTGCCAAGACCCCATGACGCAAAATGTAGCCTACAGCCCGGCCCAGCCCAGCAACCATCATGGTGGGCACCACGTAATGACATCATATACCAATGACCATCTTCCTCTCCCTAGCAACTAACCTCCTTTAGCCCAGGAACATGACATGCTTTATAGCCAGGTGCAAACATTTTACACTGTAACCAAATGTCTGTGAAGCATTTTCCCTTGACCTCATCTCATTTGATCCTCACAGAAGTCCTGGAGTAGGTAGATAGGAGACTCAGTGGAATTCAATTTTCTTTTCATTAGCCAAAAAATGGACATTTAGAAAGCTTAGAAGAAACTTGACCCAACTGAAAAGAAGAAATGATGGACCTTGAAAATGACTTCAGGCCGAAGCCGGTTTGGCTCAGTGGTAGAGCGTTGGTCTGCGGACTGAAAGGTCCCGGGTTCAATTCTGGTCAAGGGCATGTACATTGGTTGTGGGCACATGGTGGGGTTTGCAAGAGGCGGCTGGCCGATGTTTCTCTCTCATCAATGTTTCTAGCTATCTCTCTCCCTTCCTCTCTGTAAAAAAATCAATAAATATATTAAAAAAAAAAAAAAAAAAAAAAAAAAAGCATGTGCCTTGGTTGCGGGCACATCCCCAGTGGGGGGCGTGCAGGAGGCAGCTGATTGATGTTTCTCTCTCATCACTGTTTCTAACTATCTATCCCTCTCCCTTCTTCTCTGTGAAAAATCAATAAAAAAATATTTTTAAAAAAAGAAAATGACTTCAGGTTTTCTCACTGCACAGAATAAACTCAAACACTGCTGGAGTTAATGTTTTCCCCTTTGTTCTCCCTGTGTGATCTACAGTAACAGTCTGCTTCGTGCTGATATGTACTGCTGTGGCTGACAATTCCCTGAAAGGGAAGGTGGGGTGCTTCACTGGGTTGGAAAAGTTTAGCTACACCAGAAAGCAGGTCTA